CAGAAACTTTTTGGGAAAAATTGGAAACTTGGCTGTTATAAATCCCATCTACATACATCATCTGTGTCGAATATGAAGTTTCGAGGCCGCTCCGTAATGGAGATAGGACCCTTTGAAATAGGGAAGTGACTAAGGACACCCTGCATATTTTTTTAAATTTGCAAAAACTTTTTTTTTATGCGTTACAGCATGCAGTATTATATTTCAACTTCATTTTCACGTATGACGAACACTTTGCTACTTCTTCAAATTTTCCTCAAAACGTTTCAACGAAAATATGCGATAACGAAGGAAACCCCTACATAAATTTTCGGATTTTCTGCGGCGATGATTCCCAGTACCCCTCCAGTAACCAGTACCAGTACCAGTAACCCTCGTATGTTTTTACTTTCAGAGTGTATAATCCTATAGGGAAAAGCAATACAGATTAACGAAAATTTCCTATGGTAAAATGCACCTTGTCTTCCATTCTATCAATAACATCTCAGGATTTTCGCCCCCGGGATTTTTTTCGCCAGGTTCTTACAAAATTGGCCCGTTTATCTAATCTCGATATGCAGGGGGAGAGGGGGGGAGAGGGAGGGGAGGTGGGGGGGAATGAATGCGGAAGTGCACAGGTGCGAATTTCCGACAGTCTTCCGTGGAGATTGGAATGACTCCTGTCGTCAGAGTCTGCAAGCTAGCTGATGTCGTAAATGGCATTTCCGTAACGGAGTTCACAGAGACAGAAACCTGCCAATATTATTAATTCAAATAAAAATAACTAAGCCGCAAAAAAGTGATGGAACTCCATGGGATGAAACTTTTTTAACAGAAGAAATTATACAGGTACCAAAATAATCGGGAATCGGAACGACCAGCAGCTTTTTGCATGAACGCCACCTTTTCCGAAGCTATCCTATTAGTTCATTGAGAAAGAACAGATGGCAGCACTGCGCCACTTGCGGTTAGTTCACGTGTTTATCGCAGCGGGGAAGAGAGAAGTTCACATTCGTCTACGAGGCGGGCTGCCGCTCGTTACCGTGGAAAATCGTTCCGTTCCGTTTTCGGATTTTGGACCGACATTTCGAAGTCGCCACGATGAAAAGACGATGTTTCCGCCGGAGTGAAAATGAGAAAATTAGTTTCGAATCCCGTCCGGAGAAGCGTGCATTTCGCTTTTCATTTAACCCTGTAACTTTCAGAACCCAGATAGTCGCATGCTCGACTCGCAATTCGGAAGGAAACCGATAAGGAAGAAAATGTTTCCATATGCTGTGCCTCCAACACCCAATAGAGGAACCTCGAGAGATGCGGCATCTGCGAATAAATCTTTGAGTTAAGGAACGAATGAGTTACAGAACGTTTTGCCGTTTTTTGTCATATAGGCCCTCACATCCGTGTGCATGACGTCTGGGCCAAATGGTTTCGGAACTGGCACAGGATCCCCAGAAGGGTTTAGAAAGTGAACAATTTTCGGAGGACGATTTGTTTTTTTCCTCAATGGCCTTCATTGCATGACATTTACAACACGGTTCATCAGTCCAGTCTGGTGGAGTAGACAATGAGACCCTGGCCGAGAGTGCATTCCAGGAAGAAATCATCCCCGAAGAGGTTCGTCATTTGACCGCCTTCGGCCGACCAGAGGGCAGGAACCACGATGGCGACATTGTCGCGACCCAAGCTCCAGACGACCGACAAGTCGGCGAATCCTTCTCCGGCTACATAATTGGACACCCAGGAGTGGGCAGCACTGAAGATGGTAGAGTCAGGACCTGGAGAGAGAAAAAAAAAAATCTCCCCGTCATCGCATCCCCTACGAACGAGCGATCGAACGAAAGGAGCCCCACTATCGGAGTTGTAAACGAAGATCTGCCTGAGGTAAGCTCCGCCGGTGACCCCCGC